GGGGCCCCCGCTGCTCGCTGCGCTGCCCTCCCTACCTGAAACGACACGCGGGCGCCAAGGCAGCGTCAGACGCGGCGGGACTGGCCACGTGCACCCATCTCCCTGCTCGAGCGCTTTCTGCTTCAGAAAAACCACCGGGCGACCACAGGGCCGTGTGCACAAACGGCGAGCTGTGTCGTGCACCTGAAAACGTTATGCGTCAATCATACCTCACAACCCCAGCGACCTGCTTCCCTCTGCAGACCTCCCCCCATCTGCGGTCTGCGGCCCCGCCCCCGCCCTGCCCCCTCCGGTTGCAGCCCGGCGCCCTGAGACCTCGGTACAGAGGCGCCCTTCGTGGGAGCGGCACCCCGCACGGCACGTTCACAGGGAGACCGCGAGGCCACACGCCTTGGTCTAATGACGGCCTCGGAGGGCAACGCACTGCCCCTTCACGGTAGCCATCCAAGCAGGCGGCCATCCACGAGGGTCTGGGGGACAATCGCAGAATACTGGATTTGGGGGCCTGGAAGCAACTCTCAAGCGGCCTCCCCGGGTCCCCCACTCGTGGTGAGCAGACGAGGCCCGGGCCCCACGTCGGGAGCTGGGCAGGGTCTCTCCCGGACTGCTCACAGATCTTAATGAAGCAGAAAACGGAATACAAGTGGTTTTGCTTAGAAAACCAGCCAACCAGGAAATCGCTGGCCCAAGGGAGAGAACCGCCCGCCACGGGAGCCGAGAACAAAGCCACGGCACACGAGCCGTGCGGCTCCAACCGCGTGGCCTGCAGGCGATGGCGGGGCACGCCGAGGCCGCCGACCGCCGCCTGTGCTCTGGGGGTCCCCTGGGGCTCATCTGCTTCCCCTACAACCCAAGGGGCAAGGGTTGAAGCTGTGACAGGGAAGCTGGGCCGAGGCGGCTGCTGGCTGAAGATACGACTTATTCTGCAGGTGGCCATAGGTGGGACCCGCCTCTCACACGTGTTCACACGTCCCACGCTGCCGGGATGGTGGCGGCCCTTTCGGCTTGAACCTCAGAGGGTCAGCCGCCCCTCGCACCAAAGCTCGAAACGGATGGGCTTACCAGGAAAGGCCGGCCCGCTGCACAAAGGTCTCCTCTTCGCAGAGGCTGCAGTGCTGGCTCTTTTGCTGGTGGCTCTAGAAAAGACAAAGACCCCGTGACCCCGACTCCAGGCCCCCGAGGCCGACGGCCGGCTTCCCGCTTTCCCGGGGCAGTGGCCCCCGCAGTGACCTCACAGCCAGCCGCACAGCAGACGAGCCTGGGGCATCTGCGTGCCCTCGGCCAGTGTCCCCTCTCCCCAGCCATCCCTCAGCGCCGTTCCCAGCCACGTGTGGCTGCATGTCCTGGTGGACTGCCCCAGGGACGGCCCCCAACAGTCACGTGGGACCCGCACTGAGGGCCCGACGCCCGTGGCTCCTTCAGAGAGAGACCACAGACTAATCGCGATGGGGGCTGCACTGTCGGCCAGAGTGCTGACAGCCTGGAGACGAGGCGGCGTCCGAGGGGCTGCAGAGCCCGAGCTCCCCGCGCAGCAGACACGGGCTCCATCCACCGCAGGCCCAGAGACCACCCCTGCGCCAGAAATGTCCTTCCAGGCTCTGTGAACCCCACTCGCAGTTCCAAGTGTCTGCGACGCGGAGCCCTGGCTGAGCTGGCGGGTGCAGTGGGGACAGTGTGGCAGCTGGAGGGCTTCTGGCACAGCACTCCCTGAACCTGGGACTGTGGCACATCTCTCTTCACGAAGGGGCTGCACGCCAGGACAAGCCGGCAGCAGCCCACGGGTGACCGTCACGCGGCTACACTAAGCCTCGCATCGGCTCTCCCAGATGCCTGAGCCCGGGGCCCCCTGCACCTGCACGGCACGGGAGGACACTGTCACAAGGGGCAGCTTCTGCTCTGGCGATGTGCCTGGGTTAGCATTCCCCTGCCGGTCGGCTCACCTGTGCCCAATCCGTGCCAGGTGTGCCCGGAGGACGGACTGGATGACGGTGATGGCCTCCTCTTGCCCTGGGTCGTCCTCGGCCTGGACAATGGGGCTTGGAACGCAGGGTGGGGGTGAGTCCTGAGGCAACGACACAGGGACGGGAGCGGTTTCAGAGCACCGCCCACCCTGCGGCGGAGACGGTCACCTGGGACCGCGGACAGCCAGGCGGAGCCCGGCTCCGCTCCAGGCGGCAGACTGCTGCCTGCGGGCTCTTAATCCTTAGCCTCTAGAGCCTTAAGATGAACGTCCTGTCCCCCCACGGAGGTGGGGCTGACACAGGAAGCTGGTCCCTCACTGACTGTGCTTCGGCTGCGGGAGGGACACGCTGCTTGGCACTCTGCGGCAGAGGCACCACCGTGTGGCCTGAAGGTGCCGGCACAGGGGACAGGGCACCCTAGGGCAGGATACACGATGGGAAGGTGGCCCCCGCTTTCCTGGGCTGACGAGGTCTGAGAAGAAGGGGGTGACTGTGCACACTCAGGGCTGGCTGGCCCCCGCAGGGTTACCTGGCAGGGGAGGCTGGGCATGCCGGAAGACTCCAAATCCCACGCTTGTCTTGACACTAGCTCTGCCCGTGCCAGGTGTCCCCTGAAAGCTGCCTGAAGCACAGCAGCCGCCTGTCGGGACAGAGGACAGAGGAGGGTGTTGGTTTCCCCGGGGGGCGGCGGGCACGGCTTACAGGAGGTCTTTAAGTGAAAGGCTCTAACGGCAGAGGAAGTGATGTCCCACGCGACTCATGGTCACAAAAGCACTGGAAGAACCTCTCACCAGAACCTCCGACAGCGAGAAACACGCCAACCCTCCAGGGACGCCTGACCCCCGTGAACTGAGTCTGGGGACATGAACGAGTCACGCTGAACGCTGTCACGTCAGGAACCAGGGCAGCTGACTCCGGCCCACAGTGCACACGCAGTGAGGCTTCTGTGCTGGGGCCGTGGACGCGGCTGTGCGCGCCTCCTCCAGCTACCCTGCGATTCTCCGGAGAGCCACGCGGGGATCCACCATCAGTGCCCGGGGTCTGGGCAGCACGCGTGTCTGCCCGGCCTGGTCCGGGCATCGCCGCTGCACAAGGGCCTTGAGCTCTCGTGGTTCTGGGAGGCTGACGCGCACGCTGAGTCCCGACAGACGCACGGTTCTAGATGCCCCGTAATTAAGTCGCTACAAAGAAGCCTCTTTGTCCTCCAAGGCAGAGCGAAGGGCACAGGTTAGAACGAGCACGGAACGAGCACAGCCATGGAAGCCGAGGGCACAGCCGGCATTAAGGGCGGGAACCGCTGAAGCGGGTGACTACGCGGACTAACCAGGAGGCCCGCACAGCCGGACGACCACAGAGCCCCTGCCTCAGCTGCGGCGGTGGCAGCACTGCGCCCGGGACAGCATGACAGAGGGCAGCGAGCCACGCATCATGTGCCACGCCCACGTGCCAACCGAGCGTCCTGGCAGCTCCCCCTGGAGAGCTCCCGGCACCTCACCTCAGAGGGAGGGGCTGAGGCACAGGACGGGGCCCAGAGGTGGCCAAAGGTGGCGGACGGCGCATGCTGGCCGTCTGCTCAGAGCCACGCCGCACAGTCAGGGCCCTGAGGCGTCCCGAATTCACTCGTTCACTCACTCATTCACAACTGTTCATCGGAGGCCAGGCGGCGTCCTGCTAACCAGGAGTATGGCGGCAAAGGCAGAGACGGTTCCTGCCTCCGTGGCACCTTCCCGAACGGGCCCCTGGGCTTCACGTGCACGAACCTCTGGCCTGGGGCACCCGTGCCCCCACTTCCCATCCCCACGGGGCCCTGCCTGTTCTCCAGGCCCGGCTCCAATGTCACCCCCGGAGGGAGTTTCCAGGCCTCGCAAGCAGGCCCAGCGGCCTGTGGCACGTCCACCAGCCCGATCACCAGGGGTTCGCCTGTCTGCCTCGCTGCCCGTGTTCGCTTGCCTCACGCAAGCTGATGACCAATAGCTGTGTGTTGAATGAATGAATGAACGAATGAATTTGAAGGTGTGACGTCATCGGAGCATTCACTTGACGTTAACGCCACGTACGTATCGTGACCGTAACGCTGGGGTCTGGCCAGATTTCACGCAGACAGGCGCGCGACGGCGCTTCGTGAGGTAGCCCTACATTCCCCTCGCTCCAAAGCGCAACACGAACTTCAACACTGGTGAAATCGACTTTGCTCACCTCATCCTCGACGGCTTTCTTTTTCTGAAAGAGAGAGAAGTGACGAATTAACACGAGAATGAATGTCCATGCCTTGAGCCTGCCCCCGCCGGGCCCGGGGGATGTGAAGGCCGAACAAGCCGCCCCGACGAGGCTGCGGACAGCACGGCCTCGGCACCGGTCTGGCCGCTCCGGCGAGCCGCCCCTTCCTCCCTGGCGGGATGCAGCGCCCCACCGAGCTTGGGCGCGGAGCCTCCCGCCCCAGCCGTGTCCATCCTGTCTCTCCCACGTCTTCTCGTGCATCGACTGCACGTAAAGGGACTCGAGCACTGCGGGTCAGATGGATGGGCGGACGGCAGCGGGGAGCCCCCAGCACGTGCCCCGGGGTGCAGGCCGGCAGCGGGGCGTCGCAGGCGCCCTCACCTGCTCCCTGTACACCTTCCAGTGGGCCTGCAGGGTCCTGGCGGCGACGTGTCTCCGCACCTCCGGGCAGGGGCAAGGGGGGCTGGCCTCTGGCTCACGGCCCTGCTGAGGGGGACCGCAGGCTGTTCCGGATGGTCGGGGCTCCTCCTGGGCCTGCGGGACAGACAAGGGGTAGAGGGCGCTCAGTTGGGCAGGAAGATGGCACTGGGGAGGGCGACCGGGCGTTACGTGGCATGACATAGGCGGCACTGGTCAGACTCGACTTTTCCATTTAGAGGAAAAGTCTGCACCTACACCGGCCAGCACGCCACGTGACGGAACTCTCTGGAGAAAACGCCCAGCTGGCAAAGAGCTCGGCGTGTCCCCGGCCTCCCTGAGGGCTGCGTGCAGCGCTCCCGGCGAGGGCAGGCAGCGGCTCGGCACACGACTGAGCGCACGGCTCAGTCACACTGGTCCACGCAAGAACGTCCGCCTTCCAGGGGTCCTGTTTTGGTCTTTTTAGTCTAAATGCTGCGTTACAAAAATGGGACTCCTGTGATTAAAGGCAGCGACGTCTAACTTGGTTTCTGAGGTAGAAAGAAGCAAGAATTGCTATTGTTACTATCAAAACAACACTGATTTCTGCCACTTACGGGCCCTGGTAGGTAATCTACCAGAACGCCTCTCAACAAAAATAAAAATACTGGACTATTTTCCTCACATCAGAAAAGCAGGCTCAGTGGAGACACACGCTGGAGAGAGCTCTGTGAAGCCGTGAAACCATCGCAAGTCCAAGAAGCCTGCCCGCTGACGGGGCCGCAACGCCCCCAGCACGACAGCCGCTGTCACCAGTCTCTTCTGGGCACTCGTGGTCACTCCCGCCAAGGTCCCCGATGCAGCCTCTGCCACCCTGGAAAGGGCCAGGTCTCCTTCCCCCCGTCCTAACGCACCTCCAGGCCATCGCTCCATGGAGGCAATGCAGTCTGTCGATGTCACCGATCGGCCTGTGCCACCGTGAGCAAGCAGGTAAAACCAGTGACTCAGAAGGTAAAGGGACGTGACTCAGACAACTCGTGGCAGACAGCCGGGGACTTGAAATCCGGACATGCATGTTCCTCGCAGCCACTGCTGGGAGCCGACGCCCTCGCTCCGCCGGCAGCGTGACCACTCACGCCGCTGCCCTTGTCCCACCTTCTTCAAGTGGCCAGGCCTCTGGCAGCAAAGACCCAAAGCTCACAGTGCCCACGAAACACCAAGATGACGCGGAAAGACAGCACAGGAGCGCGTGGTCCCAGTGCACCGAAGCAGCGTGCGGGTGGCCCCCAGGCACCCTCCAGTGTTTTCCCGGTAAAACAGGGTCGATCAGCACTGGCCTCCGGGGGAAGAGGGGGGCCAGACAGCAGGTCACAGGTCGTCCATGTCAGTGAGCGGACGTTGCTCTGCCCTCTACCAGGGCACGGTGACCTTCCAACAGGACTCCCTGCCCGTTAGCCGGCTGCCACCTGGCACCTTGTCTGCGGCAAGGCGGCAGTGAGTGCCCTGCAGTGGGAGCTGGCCAGGCTCGCTGGACGGTCCGTGGGAACCAGGGACCCGCCCTTCGTTCCTGTCATTTATAGAGACAAAGTCTCGAGGCTGCATAAGATGCCAACGTGAGTACTGAGAGTAGCTCTGAAGCCACGCCAGTCTCCTGGAGCCCGGAGAAAGGAGCGGACTGGTACGTGGGGTGGACGCTCCACAGACGGGCAGCGCGGGAGTCAGGGACAAGGGCGGATGTGTGTCCCGTTACTGCATGGGGGGAGCCAGCGCCCTGATGCCTCCACAGCCACACGCTGGTGAGAGAACCGGCGTGGGGGTTACCTGACTCTGGGGGCGTCTTAGAGATGAGCAGACACACCTGCATCTACCTCAGCGGTGCCCTGAGGCCCAGGGTCATCTGAGACGGACAAGGGACACAGGAAGCCCTGCCCTTTTGGCACCTGCTCAGGTAGCAGATCATAAGGAGGCCCCCAAAGGGCCGCGTCTCGCACGACTGCCCCGTGGCACGCCCTGCGTCAGCGGGGCAGCAGCTGCACTCAGTGTGTCCTGCACTCAGGGTCGTGTCCGCTGCGAGCAGACAGGGTAGGTGCTCAGGTGAGCGGGGGCCTCCTGAAAAGTGACCGTCACGCAGAATGGCTAATCTCCACCCATGGACGCTCGGACCATGGGCCATGCTGCAGGACTCAGAACATTACCCAAAGCACTAGAAAAACTGCCACGGAAATGTTCCCACTCAGGTGACACAAAAAGTGTCCTTCGTGGAACAGTAAAACCAGCTTTCACAGGGAAGAGGTGGACTCACACTGCCCAGGCCTCGCGCCGGGCCAGGGGGACACGCAGATCAGGGCCAGCACACGCGCTTCAGGGCCGCTGCTGGCGACGTGGGAATCCCCTCTGCCTGGTGGGCGGCGTGCGTGCGCCTTATCTGCTTGGAGACGCGCCCGCCGCTTCTCTGAGGCCCCAGTGCTCAGCCCCTTCTCTCCTCTCCTGCGCTGAGCTCAGGGGTCCACAGTGTCGTACACTCTGGCAAGAAGCCTGAACACTAGGGCTCCTGACAAATAAGCCAACGTGGGAGGGAAGCTGGTCCCGAAGGAAAAAAGGGTGGACGATGAGACCCTGCAGTCCGATAAGCCTCCCTTTTGGCGGCCAGCGACCATCTCTGTCAGGCCACTCGCAGCTGAAACAGTAAGTCACCTTCCGAAACAACAACTTCTTGGCTAAAATGTGTGCCAGGTACACACCCACCACGCTGGGGGTGCCCAGGTGGCACTGAGACCTTCGGGCGCAGAAAGGGTCAGAAAAGGGGTCGCACAGAGGCTGCTGGGAACACCGGCCCGTCTGCAGCGCATGCATGGGACACAGCCACCCGTGCTGGCTCTGCTGATCCCACGCCTACAGGACAGGCCCTCGGGGGCCAGCGCTGCCGCAGGATTTTAGTACCGTTCCCTGTTAGTGTCGGCAGACGTCAGAGTGTACCTGGCCTCTGAAGAGCCCACTACTGGAGCACAAGGTCAGAGGGAAGGCATGTTCCCGCCACCAGAGCCCAGGCGCGGCGGCCTCGGGACCAGCACCCCCGGCTCCACGGAGGTGCCAAGGAACTGCGCACGGCCACAGACCACCTCCTCGTCCCCACACACGGGGAGAGGGGACGGGGACAGGGAGGACGGTCTGGCAAAACCTGTAGCGTGAGGGCCGTCGGGATCACAGCGTCCCAGCCACATCCCAGCGCGTCCGAGCCTCACCTCAGGGGTCACTTCCATGGGGCCACCTTCCTCCTCTCTCTTCATGTCTTCTAGTTCTTGAAACTTCTTGGTGAGCATTTCAATTTCCTTTCTAAAGCAGGAAAGGATAAGATGACGCCTTACTGGTCCCCGTGCTGTAGATGTCTGTGACAGAAGGGACGGGGGCCTACAGCTAGCACGTCCACCTCTCCCGGCCATGGGAGCCCCGGCCGCCACCGCACTGCACCGCAGGTGGCGCGTCTGCCTCGTCAGGAGGGGGTGGCCAGGGGCCGGCACAGGGGAGGTCGGGGCCCAGTGGCGCTCCGGGCGCGGGGCGGGAGGCGCTGAAAACCACTGACCGCACGGTGAACGGGCAGACCGTGTGCGGTTTTCATAAACGGCATGAACGGAAGGAGGTACAATGTATGTCCCTGTCCAGATGCTAAAGGCAAAGTGAATCCTCTCCTCCCTGGACACCGGCCCTGTCTGACCCTCGCTGTCTGACAGAAGCCGGCCACACCTCCCCCGGACACAAAGGCCCTGATTCATTTCAGTCACCGGTGTCTAACGATTCTGAGTCCTAAACGTTTCTGCTTAGGTTTCTGATCTGCTCTTTCGGGCACTTTACTGATGTGACGTCCACGTGGCACGGAACTCGCTACCTCGCAGCACACAGCTGAGTGCTGGTCAGTGAGCTCGCAGTGGCACTTAGATCGCCCCCTGCCTGTCCTGCCCTGGCAACGTTCATCTGCTTTCCGTCCCTGCGGATCTGCGTCTGCTGGGTGTCCGAGGACCGCCCGCCAGGCGGCCTTTCTTGTTGCACCCGTCGGTTCGTGCGTCACCCGTGCTGGGGCGTGTGTCAGCGCCTCGTCTGCACACACCTCAGGTTTTTATCTGTTCATCGGCTGATGGACACTTGGGCTGTTCCCACTTTCTGGCCGTCGTGGACAACGATGCTTCGAAGGGTGTGGGAGGCGATGACCCCCGAAGCGGGGCCAACACCCAGACTGAGGGGTGTGCCCACGGCAGATGCCATGACGCCTGCTCCCCCTGACAACTGCCCTGTACGAGGCGAGCCCCCCGACACTGCCCTGTACGAGGTGAGCCCCCCGACACTGCCCTGTACAAGGTGAGCCCCCCGACACTGTCCTGTACGAGGCGAGCCCCCCGACACTGTCCTGTACGAGGTGAGCCCCCCGACACTGCCCTGTACGAGGTGAGCCCCCCGACACTGCCCTGGTATGAGGCAAGCCCCCTGACACTGCCCTGTACGAGGTGAGCCCCCCGACACTGCCCTGTACGAGGCGGGCCCTTCCCCAGAGTTCGGATCCTCACTCGGAAGGAAAGCAACACCGTGAGCTTCGGGACGAGGCTGCGGCCGTGCTGACGGCAGGCGGGGCCGGCATGCGGCGGGCAGAGCCGGGACTGTGCGTGCTCCGAACACGGACTCCCGGCTCACTCACCTCAGAGCCCCCTCTCTTTCTCTTCTCTCCTTCTCGCCCTCCTTCACGCTTTCCAGCTCTCTCTGCAAGTCGACCTTTGCCTGGAGCAGCTGCTTCACCTCCAGGCTGAACACACAGAACCAGAGACGTTTCAGTGGTTGTTAAAACAGGACCACGTTACACCACGCGTCATAGGCCGGGAGCACTCAGAGAAAAATAACGCGGCCCAACCCCCTAACTGATGACAGTGGACACAGAGCCAGGGCCAGAGAAGAGAGGGCCGAGAACAGGCAGGGGTCCTGAGTCAGATGTCATGGGGGGTCTGCTGTGAGGGGAACACAGCGGGGAGTGAGCCCCGACTCGGTAGAGCCCCGCCTCACGGCCTGTATCCCAGGGAGGGACACCACCCTGTCAGACGGTGGGCACCCAGTCTGTGCCCCAGACGAGTGCTCTGAAGGGCCACATGAACTACGTGGGTGCTGCCTGAGCTGAGGGCTTGAGGACAAAGTGGGGCACCCACAACTGCACTACTCCCAGACAGGCTTTCCTAGGCCCCCCAGGTGACTTGTGGCTAAGAATGTGGCTTTAAAACATGACCTCTAGCTGAAGCTCAGTCCCACTGCTTTCTGTCGCAATGGCTTTTCAAGGTCCTGTGAAAGTCTGTATGAACCGGACCATACACCATAGGGGGTCCGCAGAGAAGAGCACGGTCAAGGTCAATAAATGAAACTACTGTCATACCATGTGACAGCTTTCAAAATGACTACGTACCTTTCAAATACCATGGGACCTACCTTTCAAAATGACTAGACTAATTTTTGCAAAGAACCTCTCAGCGTGTGTGAAAACAGGGAAAGGCTTGGCCTTCTGCTGGGACAGCAGCAGGGAACCCAGGCCCCGAGCAAGCCAGGGAGTCCCTCTCAGGCCCAGGAGTGCACGCGAGTCACGGTGAGGTCGCATGAGGCAGACAGGCTCCAGAGACCTGGGGCAGCTGAGGTGCTGCATCTCTAACCAGCTCCGGGTGGGCGGGGCTGAGGTGCTGCATCTCTAACCAGCTCCCGGTCTGTGCTTAGGGGGCTTCCCAGGCCATGCTCTGGGTAGCAAGGTCTGAGAGATAAACCCCATCTCAAAAGACCGTGCGGCGGCTTCCTCACGACAGAACGGTGACTAGAGAAGCCCCAAGGAAACCGCGGGAGGAGGACGGTGCATTTTCGGTGAACCACAGATCAACATGCTGGAGCACAGAGAATAAGCGAAATCTGAGGCTTCGCCCTTCAAAACTCTTAGGGTCGCACCGAACAGCTCACGCATGTGTCCCATTTGATACAGGTGACACAGACACGTCACTGAGTCTTTAAACCACTCCGTGTAAGACCTCATTGATAGCATGTCTATTTTACGAGAATTAACCAAACCATTTTTCTCTAAAGAAGTTCGGAAACCCCTCTGGAATTCAGTGTAAAGAGATCTGAACGCCCACCCCCTTTGGAAACCCGACTTGGCCAATTAATGTTTTCTTTTTACCGCTAAAGCTGGCTTTATGTTACAACCGAAACGCACGCTTCGGAATCAGAAAGTACTCGTGCAGTCGCTCCTGAGAGCTGAGCGCGCCCAAGGCCATGCCAACGGTGGACGCCTCGCAAAAACGCTTGTCAGCAGGAGGCCGGGCCCCCCGGGGACGGGAAGCTGCCCGGCACCAGCCACGTACTCTCTGTCCTGCAGCTGCGCCCGCAGGGCCCGCCGCTCGCCCTTCAGGCTCCTCACCGCAGCCCGGACACGCTCGCTCTCCTCCAGGTGCCCGGCCGGTGGCTGCCCGTGCCCCGCGGAGCTGGATGCGGCGTGAGCCAGGATGTCTGACCGAGCCTCATCCGAAGACTGGGGCTTGGGGCTCTCCGTGGGACCGATCTCCTGGGGCGACACGGGCGGGTTAGCGCGACTTCCAGAGACCTCGTGGCCGCCGGCCTCGCGCAGCCCAGAAGGGCTCGGCCCCATGGCCCCTGACGCCCTCCAGGGCCATTCCTCCCCAGCAAGCTCGGCTTCCCAACCGCCCACGAATTATAGAAACCTATTCAGCTTTCGGCCTGTAAATGTGTGAAATTATTATTCTTTTAAATGTTCCCCTCTAAGTTTACTTAGAGGCCAAATAATGTGACACCATGACCTCCGTCAATAAAATCAGATTGGCTATGAGTTTGCAGATTCACACGGGGGATACGGGGAAATGTTAACCAGATTTTCTGGTGGGCAGAGTGCAGCTGATCAGAGTTTTCTGTGAACTCGAGTATTATACACTGGTGGGAACACCAGTCTGGGGCGTGACGGGCAAGGAAAAGCCGACATGGACACAGGAGGCTGGGTTCGGAGGGGCTCTAGGGTACCTGCACCCATCTTGCCGGAACGGGGTAGGCATGGCGTGGCCCTCGCTCTGTCCACTCTTTGGTCTGCCCACGGGACTGTGCCCATGAGCAAAGCCCCTTGCCCGTCCCCCGCCCCTCAGGCATCCAGCTCCCCTCCAGCGCAGGCAGGCCGCGAGCCGGGCGCGGGACACTAGGGGGCGTGCCTCTCACCTTCTCCAGCTCCGCGATCCGTCTCAGCAGCCGGGGCTTACTCCACTCCATGTAACCTGGGGAAGGAACGGAGTTTAAGGCACACTCCATGCCGCCACCCTGACAGGCCCCTTCGGCCAGACTGCCCTTCCCGAGCGAGCAGAGGGGCCTCCCCCAGTGGCCACGTGGCTGACCCTCAGCTCTCAGGCCTGTGCCCAGCTGTCACGGCCTTGGAGGGGCCTCATCTGCAGGTGCACAGCTGCCCACCTGCCGCCTCTCCCTCCCCTCCTTTACTCTGCTCCCAGCTCTCAGCCGACCCGCTGGCCCCTCCGCCTCCCCGACACGACGCCACTGCCACGGGACGTGTGCGTGCTCGTTTGCCACGGTCCCCAGCGCCTGGCGCACAGCAGGCGCTCATTCAATCTCCAAGCGCATTTGCGCGTGCAGCTCAGCGGTCTGGCTGCACTTGGCCCATGCAGTCGGGCCTAGGCGGTGGGGAGGCGGGAAGGCCTGCATCTCCGTCAAAGAACCAGAAACGTGGCCTCTCCCCATGTGTCCCCTCCCGGTGGCCCTGGAAAGACACCCTTGATCCTGGAGACGGTGGGCGAGTGGCTCAGCACGCGGTCCAGGTCCTCCTTCAGGCTGCGGTTCTCCTCCGTGAGCTCCTGGACGCTCCGGGACAGGCTCAGCAGGACGCTGCTTGTCTTCTTCTGCCTTTTAAAGCTGGCTTTCTTCTCCGACAGCCTGCGGGCCAGAAACCACGAGGTTGAGGTCTAGGTTTCTGAACTGATTTAACGTCACGTGTGAGGGGGCGGTCGTGCAGATGAGTGTGTGCAGTCCTCAGGGGACCCTAAGTGTGACCACACGGAAGCAACCTGTGCCTCCTTCCCACGGAATGCCCTCCTTCCAACCAGTCGACCTGTGTAACAGCATAGCGTACTTGATGATTTGTGGTGTTTTAGATCGCGTCACTAAAGGGTTCACGGTTCACTTTCTCTCGTTACTTAAGCACCTATGTGATAGCTTTGGTCTTGCCTCTTGCCCCCGAGTCTAAGCCACACAGACTGTATCTGCAGACTGGCCTACTCGCAGACATGGGCAGGGAGGCGAAAAACCAGAGTCGCCGGCGGGCACGCGCCCAGCTCAGGCTCAATGAGGCACCGCCCTGCCTCTCAATTCTCCGCGGTCCACTCAGCATGTGCTTTTCACGATGCTGTGCTCCGTCGGTGCGTTCACTGCTTAAATCGTCCCCGTGGTGCAGAGCCGAGTGCGGCCCGTGGGCCCAGTGGAGGGCGGCAGGAGACCCGTCTGGGCCGAGTTCAGTGTTAAGGTGTCGACAGTGCACGTCAAGGTGTCTCTGAGCAGAAACACACCTAGCACCAGGTTATGCACTACAGTTCATGACCAGAGCCGCCCTCCGCACCCCCGGGGGCACGCTCACTCCCGACAGCTCAGCGCACGTGCAGACTATGGGACTCACCGCTGCAAACGGCGAGGACCGGCCACAAGTGCCATCCGGCCCGTTACAGAAAAGTTTGCCAACCTGTTTTCAACTACGGGGCGGTTAGGAAAAAAGCGAAGGCCGGGCCGGCCGTGTAAACGCCCTGCGAATGTTCGGGACCGACCACAGAGGCCGCGACACACACACCCGATCAGGGACTGCGGCTCCCCCATCTGCTGCCAGCGCGGTGTGGGCTGGAGAAGGGGTGAGGGACACTGAGAGTACGGCCACCCCGCTGCGCTTCCTGACGAACTCATGCGGCAACACGAACGTGCACTTGGTGCTAAACTCTCCCCGACAGGAAGATCCGCTCGGGGAACCAGTGCCGCTAGGCAGTGTGGACAGTGACCGTCGGCGGTCAGCACGGGGCGGTTGTCAGGGCACCCGGTGGCCACCCCCGTGGAAACGTGGCAATCTGCCCACTGGCGCAAGGGCGGGCGTGGCCCCGCAGCGGCCATTCTGCTTGGTGTGGAACACAAGGCCCGCATAGGAGCCCCGGCTCCCAACAGATCATCGTACTTCCTTCCCGTGGTTTCGGAACTCGCCAGGAGGGTCTGCAGGCGATGGATCTGCAAACGGCAAGTTAGAACGCATCAGGACACGCGCGCATCAGGACGCGAGCCAGCACGGCCCACCTTCCTCTAAAGAGGCTGCCGCACACGCCTGACCTCTGTCCCGCGGCAGGTGAGTGCTAGGTGTGCGACGCTCACTCAAGCTGAGGCAGGAGAGCGGGGTCCCCACAGGGCCGCTGGCCATCACCCAGGCCAGCAGCTGGGCCCGTGTGCCTACTCCCGCCCTGCACCCGCTCTGGGCAGAAGGGCACCCACCTCCTCGTAGTAGGTCTCCATGGCAATCTTCATCTCCTCCAAGTTCGTGGTCTTTATGTCGGTCTGCAGTTTGCTAGAAAGCCAAGTTCAGAGTTAACACGGCAGTGCCAGCATTCCCCGGGCAGAGAAGAGGACGTGTCCCCAGGACATCAGAGCCGGGCTGGGAGGGAAAGGCTGAGCTGGCCCTTGGCTGGCTGGTGGCCTCGCACAGACTCCCTTCCAGACTGACCAGCCACTTCCCAAGGTGAGTGACAAACTCCCTAATGATGCTCTTTACTAAGTAAGAGGCTGTCTAAAACTGGAGCGACTGTGAAGACAGGCCTCCGGGGCAGCGGGGGGCTGTCCGTGTGAAGGACAGCCACTTGCCCCCAACGGTCAGAGTGACTCTCCTTGCTCTCCGCCTCTGGACAAAGGCTCTAACAGAGGAAAGGAAAGCCACACGGATCAGGATTCCGAAACACGGAAAAAATCAGCAACCAACGTTTTCTCAGGTGACCATTTTAGCAGGAAACGAAGAAGGGGGAGAGCGCTGCGTGAAGAGGCGGCGCGGGGCAACAGGTGGGACCTCGGAGCTCCTCAGAGCAGCGTGAACACTGCTGGAGGACTCTGCCCTCGCACCAGACAGCGGGAAGGACGAGCGGCCGCCCCGAGGGCAGAGCCAGGACGGGCGGGGCCCAGCGAGGGGCAGCTGGGGGACGGGCCTAAGCATCGGGGTTTCCTGTGTCACGTTGGAGATGAAGACTGGTCCACGGGAGACTAAGGACAGAAGGCGTTTCTTAAATGCGACAGGCACGGGAAAGATGCGAGGAAAAGGCTGCTCCTTCGTGACACTTGGAAGAGGCGGCCAACGTCCACTTGGCTCTCTGGGGGAAAGATGAAGTTGGGAGCAGGGGCGTGGAACAGGGCATGGCGGGTGGGAACTGAAGTTGCCGTCTGAGGGCAGAGCACACAAGCCACCGAAAGGAGGCGGGAGCGGCGAGCGGCCAGCTCCAGCAGCGGGGGTGGGAGCCGGGAGCCCGCGGGGAGCCCGGGCCAGCCTGCCGACCTCTCCGTACTGGATAGTGTTGTCCTTGTCCTTGCACTGCTGCTCCAGCTTCAGGATCCTCTGCTTCAGGCCACTGACGACCTGCCAACGAAACAGCGGCACGTCACGCTGGCCGTTTCCACGTCCGTGGTCCCCTCCCTCTGCGGACTCAGCCCGTCCTGTGCCCAGGCAGGTCCGGGTGGCCCCTGCCCGCACGGCCCCCCGTCACAGGACCTCACTGTCCTCGCTTCATCGCTGGCTTCTCTTCCAGACCACAGCACAGCGAAGACGGGACCGCCGACCCACTCGCTCAGTGCAGGGAGGCGAGTGAGCGGGCCCAGGCGGGTGGGGGTCCCTAGGCAGACGCCCGCCAGGCACGGAGCCCTCCCCCGGGCCATGGGCCACGCTTAGGGGACCGCCAGGTGCCTCCCCAGTTGTCTTCCAGGAAGACACCAGTCACTAGATGCAAAGTCATCAGCCCTGACCGCCCCCCATGACAACTCGGCCCACACACTCCCTGGGGTGAGCAGGGCAGAAGGACGCAGGGCACAGCGGGACAGAGGCCTGCGGGGTCCCCAGGGCCCCGCGCCTCCCCGAGTGCCGCTTACCGCCTGCCTCCTTCCCTGTCAGTCCATCACTGGGGAGACGACAGCAGCACGTCCCTGAGCAGACGTCTCCCCTTCTTTGGAATGGCCCAACTACTTTCTAACTGGATTTTAAGGTAAGTTTAAATTACCTTAGCGATGCACGAACACATTTTGTTTAAAAAATTAAATATTATGGATGCGACAGTACCCTTTGACATACCGCTCTCAACCAAATATTGTCACCAACTCGCAGTGCATTCCCGAGACCGCAGTGTGCGCGTGCTCGGCTGTGTGCGCACCCCTGCAGTTCCGGCACCCCGTCGTGCATGTCCACGGTGCCCAGGCACGCGTGGCCCCTGCAGCTCAGCGAACGGTCTTGGGGAGCCGTCCCTGCATCTCTGCATTCTCACACCACGTGACGCGCACGGCAGAGTGCCCCCTTTCCCAGCGACAAGTCTGTAAGCCGAACCCACTTCTATGACTGCGAATAATCCTTGGCCAGCCCCGCGGTGCACACACGCAAACGTCTCCTGAGCATGGATGCCAAGAGGAAGTGTCCAACCGCGGACACGGCCACTGTGAAGGGTGGCCTGGCAGAACGCACGTACCCTGCGATCTAGAATTCCCACTCTGAATCAACTTTAATAACAAAAAAAAAGCAGAACAACAAACGTGCAAGGAGCCCCTCCTCTCTGCAAATCCCCGTCATTTTCAGGACTCTACGCCCGCACCCAAGTCATGCAGACAGCTCTGTTGTTTTATATTCTTTATTCTTTTCTGAAGATGTTTTGATGCAGCGGCATTCCAATCTGAATGGCTTCTCCTCGATTTTCCTCCCAAATGGGGCAGCTATAAATAACCTTGTGCCAAAGGCTTTTTCTCCTGGATTTTCCTAAGAAGTGGTGTTAGACAAGGGGTGACTTCACGGACCGCTGCGGCCGCATGACACAGCGCCTAACACGTCATGTCTGGTTCTACGTGCCTGTGCTGCCCCAGCGCCCCCCACACTGGCTTGGCGGCCTGGCTGTTTTGCTCCATGAAGCCGAGAGTCTCCCGTCCCAGTAGCTGAGGACAAGGCCTTCACACCCGCATTGACTGCTGCTCAGCAGTGGGGACCAAGTGGACACCAGCCTGGCCTTCGGGGCTCACGGCCACTCACTGCTAACCCAGCTTGGGCGAGGCGACTCCCTTAACCTCGGTTTCCCGATTTCAAAGATGGGGATGCAAGTCCCGGGCAGCACAGGCCACGTGAAGTTGTGTACGTGTGCAAAATGTGCGCTGGGCCACTGCTACATAAAACTATCTTCTGTGTAAGCGCCGACTCCTTCTGGAGCCCTTACGCGTCTGCGTGCTGCGGTCCTCACGCAGAGCTGCTCCAGTCAGCGGAGCAGACAGCCTTGCTTCTGTCTAGGTCAGTAGCGTCTGCGTGCCCTGGACGGAAGTCTGCTGTGCCATCGATGACGCCCCGTTACACCGATCGTTTCTGTCATGGTCTAATGGGTCTTTATTTAAATCTTATGTCATCAAACCCACTCACCACGTCACTGTTACTTTATTCTTTGTGTGCGATAATCTCATAATCTCATCCTTTCCGGTTTTTAGCACTTCACATGAAACAGACATGTACTTCCTCGACTCGTATGAGGTGTGCTGTGAAATGTTTTTCTCCAACTGCCAGTTTATTGCCACAGCATCGATCACACTGCGGTCCCATTTTCCATCGTTTGTTGCATTCGATCTGTTACGTGTTACTAAGCAACACA